TGATTGATTTATAAACATAAAATCAGAATTCGAATTAAATTCAATAACAATCGAATTATTATTAGAATACAATAATTGACAACTTCCATTTGTCGAAAAATAATTTAGTCCAGATAATAATACATTTGTTTTCATCATTTCACATATACATTCATTTTTGGTAACATTTAATAATGACTTATTCACAGTACCAACTATTATACTATTGCTTATTTTACCAACAAAAATTGAATCACTCATAGAAACTGATAATAAAATAAAGACGATCCAAAACATCTTTTCTTCGTTTACTTTGTGGAAACTCTTCTGAAAATTGTTTGAATAACTTTTTTCACTGTTTTTTGCTCTCTTATTTTTTTAAACTCTTTTCAGTTTAATATTTAATCACTATAGAAAAAAATGCTGCTTGTCGTATGCTAAGTTTCTTTACAGTAGCAGATGTATTCACGGTTTACCGAGATAGTCACTGTCAAAGAAAAGAAATAAGTATTTCTCTTATTATTTTTTTTAACCATGTATAGAATTAAAATCATTAGTATCGTGATGATTGCAGTGAAGAAAAAAAATTAACGTATCTCTGTAAATGTAATGTGTTGTTTTTTAAAATATTTCATACGATATAGTGGAAGAAAGAAAGAAAAACTAACTTCTGATAATTAATTCAAGTAAAGTATTATAGCAAATAGAATCGTTTTCTTACCGATTTAAGATGTATCAAACGTCAACATTAATAACAACGGGAGATACACGTACATATGTCAATTGATAAGAACGTGAATGATCAATTAGTAACTCATAACGAGAGTGACAGATGTGTTGTCTCAGTTTTTGTAAAAAAAAGAGTATCCCGACTGTTTCTGGAAAAGCGAACAAAATGTGAGCCTGTATCACCTCTATGGATGCACCAGTTCCAGTTAGCTGAGTGTGGATTGTTACTGTTCCCTTTGTCTCATACCTACATTCCTGATAATAGCTCTCAACAATCTCTGTTTATGTTAAAACTTTCCGAAGATTTGCTTTGATTATTGAGGGATTACAGATATTGTAACGGGAAAACATGAAATTCTGTAACACGTCCCCACGCCGATATGTTATTATTTTGTTTCTTCACAAAAGATCAAATCAAAGATAATTGCCGTTGATATATTTTGATGTCAGTTTATCAAGTTTCCCGTTGCTGAAAGATGTTTATACAAACAGAATGAATTATTCGTACAATATTTCAAAATTTCTCTAATATTATTAGTAATAAATCAATTAAAAAAAATACTAAGGAGAGAATCACCCAATATGATTGAGAGCTTTTGAGCTGACATATTGTCCATGAATAGGATCTGATGAGACTAGAGAAAGCCTAGCAGGATAAAGACTCATTGGTCTTTCTTCCCGAGTTAGGTTCATATTCGTAGATTTTCTGCCTATGGCAAGAGGTTCACCGAAAAGAATGTGGGTTTGTGTGGGTGAGAGTATAGGTGTGAGTACCCTGTATAGCTCACACCCACACCCACCCTCAAGATGATTCTCGTTGTCTTTCTGAATGAATTGAATTCAAGTGCTTAGTTTTATTTATTAAAAGCACAGTACACTAAAAGAATTTGGAATATATTGTTCGATATTTTCTTAATGTAAGTTCATTTAAACTTGACATAATATTGGATTTATTTTGCTTGACACCCGTTTAGTTAACCTTTGCAAACTAGTTTGTTCCAAAATGCTCTAATTTTTTTCGGAACATTGAATATACTGTCCAAAAATGATTTGTTTTCAAACGCTAGCATGCACCAATGAGCTACCTTATTACTGTCGAGAGATTGCATAATCCCAAAAATAAGTTCATTGATACCGGATTGTTCAAACACTTTGCCAGCATCTTCATCTTCGTATGTGTCACTATTTACTGCTGTGCATAATCCCATATTTCCATAGTAGATAACACCATCTTCTTCTCGAGTTTTGGCATGGTACTTCATTAGTAACTGCTGAAAATCTTGTATAACAGCGTCTCGTTGTTTTTTTTGCCCACCCCATTTGTTGGTACACACAAGAGCACATAAGATCTCTCTTTTCATACACTCTTGTAATAGCCAATCGAGTTGTTCAGTCTTTGCAAAGGAACCCGGCGATGCGCAAAAGATCATGCATAGTATATAGGATTTGGGTTCTTTTAAAATATTTTCTAAACTTCTTCGAATGTCATCTTGAGTCCAACTTTCAAATCCAGGTGTGTCCCAGAAATTGTACTTGTAGTTTATTGTTTCCGAATCATGTTTGATGCTACCGTTAAGATGGTAACGGGAGACACTTTTCGTGCACGAATCAAGCGCAGGGCTTGTTTTAGCCAACTCTTTTTGACATATAGCATTGATCAGAGTGCTCTTTCCAACTCTGGGGGAGCCGGCCAAAAAAATATTGATTTCCTTGAATGTGTCAGCAATATCTTGACGTATAACAGGATTACGAGTGGTAGTGGCACCCACCTCGTTGATCTTAGATGTCACATGTCTGTAAGTGTCAGCTAATGTTTTTGGAAGAGATGAATTACGACCAATGTTACTAGATGCCATTATCGATTCACTCTGAATTACTTTTGCTTGTGTTTCAGATGGAGTAGAAGGTGGGGTGCTGCTTCGTGATGATAGTTTGTTTGCACCACTCTTTGGTAGAATCGAAGTATTTGCAGACGTTACTGGGGTTGACGTTGTTTTTACAGCAAGTTGTGGTGACAACTGATGGGATGCTATTTCATTCGAGACACCAACTTTGGAATTAGAAGATTTCGACTTGAAACACACAAAAAACTGTCTTTAACAATTTGAATATACAGAGTGTTTCAAAAATTATTCAGCAAAAGTTTTTTTCGTATATCTTTGCTACTTCATCTAACTTTATCAACATTCTTTTCAATTATAGCTTAACATATAGAGTTCTTATTTACCTGAACGATCACCATCGATTAAAATAAACAAATTTTGCTTTGCAGAAAGGCCTCAGAATTTTCAATACACATATTCTCCAACGAGCTGTCTAACTACATGAAAATATCAAAGGAAAAAACTTAGTTAGCTTTTACATTACTCGCATCTAATAAAAAAAACCAAAGTTTTCGTATTGCGATCCAAGGTGACTGTTTTGTATAATTATGCGGAAGGTCTTTCGGATGAAATTAAGCTCCAGGGTGGGTGTGGGTGTGGGTGTGGGTGTTACTGTGGGTGTGTGTTAATGTGAGCGTTAATGTGAGTGTCAGTATGGGTGTGTGTGTTATAATCTTTTCTCCAACTATGTCATCTTCGACGCTCACACCCACCCTCTATTAATAATGATCATCTTGCCGATCGACAGTTAATATTGGAAAGCAAATATTTCAGGAGAGCAAGTGCCGCTGGGGAGCAAATGTCGTTGGGGAGCAAATGTCCGGAAAGCAAGTGTCGCGGGAGCAAATGTCTCGGGAGCATCTTTCATGAATTCGTTAAATCAGATAGTAAAGTTCTAAAACAACATATTTGATAAATGATTTTTGAAACACCCTTTATAACGATTGATCAAATGAGCATAAACCATGGGAGAAACTATCGAAGCTTCTTGACACCTACCTTCTCATTATGTTTTGGTATTACACTAGATTGATCACTACCAACTGATGTTTTTTGTTTAGTGACTTCTTCATTGTTACCGCTGCGCAGAATTTGTAGAGTACGGTTCATTATTTGCTCCTTTATCGCTGTTTTCATGTGCATCTATAGTTTTAGTGTATCTGTTGTCAAGGCTTTGCTCTCTTCGAATGTCATGTCCTCACCAAGCATTTCGTCATAATTGTTCAAGAGATAATAGTTGTTGTACTTAATTTTTTCTCTGCTTACACTCTGTTGGCACACATATTTCATAATATCCGTCATTGTGGATTCCATTTGCACCGGCACATGAAAGCTTTCTTCAGTTTGTCTCAAGTAAACTTCAACCGTTGTAGTAGACATTGGTTCTTGAACTGCATTATAGAGTGAGAACAACTTTATTTAATTAGAGACTTTTTCCTTCAAATATTTTATAAAACGAATAGGCTTCTCGTGAACTCACCACAGTCAATTCTTTTTTCCATAAACACAAGTGAAAAGAAAAGAAAAGAAATATTTGAAAATACTTAAATCTTGGGGATGGGTGTGGATATGGGTTTTACTTTCATCGCCAAATCCTCAGAATACAGCCATTTTTGGTAGTGTTAATAAGCTTTTTTTATAAAGATTTATAATCATTGACTACTGTACAGCCAAAAAGTCAGTGATGAAACTACTTGAATTTCATTGTTTCGTGCGCTCCCGAATCAAAAACTATAACAGTTTATATCATCAAGATAAATGCAATAGACATTCTTTAGTAAAACTTTAAAAAAGAAAAGACTTTCTCTAAAGAAAACTTCAAAAAAGCCATTTTTTCTAAGTTTTGAATTTATTTCAATTATTTCCATAGAAATCCTAAAGCTTTTTTTATTAACATGATCAGGAAAGAAAAATCTACAAAAACGGCGCACAGAAGAAATTTGTTTTTGAAAATGTTATATTGTTTACGTTGGCTTCTCCACGGAAGCACCATGATAGACTTTTTATAATTCAATATTCTTGAGAATAACACAAAATCTCAGTGTTTGGTTGTCTATATGCTTCGATTCTTCTGAATATTTCAATTAGATATATGTAATCACTATTAAAAGTAATTTTTTAACTTTTTCCCTAGCAGTGGCAAAATTCTGTCAATTCTTAACTCTGTAAGAGTTTAGAACCCATGAATCAACCAAAAAGACACGTATCCATCGTAATTAAATAAAACCCTGTAAACTCTCATAACAGAACGTATTCACCAAACTCAAAGAGCTCTCAGAGTTCAAGAACTCTACCAAACTGACGTAAGTCACAAAAGTGAACAAATAACCAGTTTGTGCAAATTGTAAGAATATTAAAATGTCAATAAGTTAAAGGAATGAAGGAACTTCGAGAACTCTTAAAATTGGAGGAGCTTGTATAACAATCGAAAGTCTCGAACGCAGGTATCGCATAGATCACAAGGGCGTTAGGAAAGCTGAGAATCGTAAAAGGAAGAGTAGGCAGAGAATTTATCTAGAGGGTGTGATGGTGAGAAAGGAGTGGGTGAGTATATTTTATTCATATCCTCGCTCTGTTAGATTGCATGAATTCCATGCATTCAGTCGATTCTAGTTGGTTTATAGGTTTACCAATCTTCATGAGTTTAGAATTCACGAAATTTGAACACATCTCTTTTCCCGATGATTTAAATATAAAACTTACTCGAATGAAATTGTCTGAATGAAATGATTTGAAAAAATCGAAATAGTTTGTAAATTTTGGATGATATTGTGTGTGTAACCGAATGTTCTTTTCGCGGAATAATTCGTTTGGTTTGTTTTATAAAGTAACAATATACGTGACTTTTTTTCTTTTTTTCAACTACGCATTTTATGGTGAAAGAATGTGCAAAGATTGAAAAGAAGACATTGAAGGTCTACAATACATACAAAATGTTATTGGAAAGAAAGAGAAAAAGAATTCATATAAAATGAAATGAATTTAAGTGCTGTGCAGTTAAACATTGTTGCCAGAAAATTGTATCCTTCGTATTCGAATGAAAGATAAATATGTCTTCGCAAAAAGAAATAAAAATCTGATAGAATAGAAGAAATTACGTCGCTTGTCTAAATGTATTGTATTGACAGTCGTAGATCGTCGACACCATATTGAGGGTGTCGATGTTTGATATATCCTTAATGCACTTGTATATTCGCCCTCACCTATACTCTGGTTTTAGTCACATCCCTATTTACAAAATATTCAATCGGCGAAATACTTTTCTATATAAAAACAAATCTTCGCAAAATCTGTTAAGTAACTTATATTTAAATAATAAACATATTATTGTTAAACAGAAGTCGTCGGAACCAAAGAATAATTGTAAAGAGTGAGTTGCTTTCATTTTTTGATGAATTAAATTGTGATCTTGTTTGAAAAAGGAGAAATCTTGTAAGAAAAATTTATTTCGAAGATTCGTGAGAATCATTTCTATATTGAAATTAAGAATAAAATTTTGTGATCAATATCGATTAGATTTTAATTGTTTCACTTCTTTTTTTGATCACATTCAACTATTTTATTTTTAAGAATAACAAAATTTTCATGTCGAAAATGAATAAAATATATATTTAAATAATTATGCACAAAACAATTCCTCATTCGAATTCAATTTCATCTTCTTCATTTGAGAAATTATCATGTTGCTCTTTTCTTTTCTATATTAATAAAAGGTTCAGAAAATCAATCGATATTCCATTTATTTTTCTCTTAATTTCTTAAATTTTGTACGAAGAATTAAACGTTTAACAATAAAATACAGAACAATTGTTGAATTCAAATTCACATATCAGTGAACATCCAAAAAAGAATTACGATTTTTATTTAAAACTTATTTTCAAATAAATGGAAAAATAAATATTTTAATTTATTCTTTACAATTATGTATGTTTCTTGACAGAGCGAGAGAAATATGCTCTCTTCTTTCACCGTTTTCGTCAATTGAATCTATTAGTAACTTTAAAAAGCTATTCTCTAATTGATTGTATGTAGTTGAATCTCCATTTATATTCGAATTTAAATTAGACATCCGATGTCAATATCAAATACATCTGGAAAGAAAAGAAATCTTAATTTATCGTGTTTCTTCGACAATAAATAAAAATATTATTTTAACCAAATGACGGACATTATAGAAATCGATTTTTTTGTAAAGCAAACATTTTGAATAACATTTGATTAGAATTTTGTGTTTATTTGAAATATTTTGATGTGAGATATCAATGAACAAAGAAATGAATAAAGAAATGATGAACAATAGTTTTTATTCTTATTCATTGATAATAATTTCTTATGTTTTTCTTTACATTTTTCAAAAATTCTTCATAAAGTAAAAGAATTACTAATACACATATATTCAAATGTCACTTTTATTTCAATTTCAATTGATAAATTATTATTGATAATTGAATAAAATCAAAATAAGAAATTGTGAACGAATTATTATTTTCTCTCAATTTCCTCTTTATCTGATGAGTTGAATGACGAATTTGATTAATTTCCATCTAAAATAATATTCTCACATTTAACATTATTTATTGTAAAGATTCACTTTGTTTTGTCATTGTTGATAATTTGAATAATTCTTTTTGGAATTAAAATGATGTCACAGATTTGAGTTTAAAACTAAGATTTTGATGTGATAAATATTTGCAATTTGTTCAGTTTGATTGAAAATAGTTTTTCGCTGAGAATATGATCATCTATTCAATTTATATTAGTAATTAAAGAGATGTGTTGATCAGTCAAATGAGAATATCGATTTTTATTAACTTTGTGTAAATAATTATTTTTATTCAAATGCCGATTTTACAAAAGAAAATTATTGAAAAATAAAAAATATTTATTATAAGAATAAATTGAGGTAGAAGATCGTAAATCATTTTAAAATAAGAAATATTTTTATTGTGATGAAGGATAAAATCTTTCCGAGATCTACATTGAAGTTGAAAATTGATCATTGCCGTCGTGTGACAATGATAAATGGAGAAAAAGAAATTATCAAGAGAGTTTCTATTCATTGTATCAATGTACTTTTACAATATTCGTGAAGCATAAATGTTTGCTTGTTAACCCATTCGATGTTTTACTTGACGATGACGCATTGTGGTCGATTCTATAGCCACGAAGGAGAAAAAACAATCGTGATGAACTGAGCTTTACTTTGCGTTATGAAACGAAAGAAAAATAACAAAATAGAAATACCTGAATTTTTTTCTTTGATGCAAAAGCGACTGTACGACAGGCAGGTATTAACAGTAAACAAAAAAAAACAACCGCTGGGTTCGTTACCAAGTTGCACAATTAAATAAAAGAGCTACGCAAGGTATGGGTCGGTGAGTGTGGATGTACATGGGATATAAATGTAATACTCACATCCACCCACCCATCTACACGTATGATCGTTTTTATGTTTCATCTTTGTTTGGAGCCGTTACCTTCTACTCTCTGTCGATAAAATGCTTCAACAGAAACAACAAAAATTCTTCGCTTTCTCACTGTAAGGATAATGACGTCATTCAAAAACAAATGACGTCACCAAATCTGAGGAAGAAAAGAATGACGTGCAAGCGTTGTGCTGTAATGACAAACTGGGAAATTACCCACTCCGAGCACATATAAATCAGCCAGAAATGCTCTGCAACCTTCACACTACAGAAAATTTGCTAACAGTTGATCACAGTACAACTTTTCTGCATAATGTCACGAACATTGAAAGATATCGGATGGGTACAGAGAAATGATGGCGAACGTGATCGACGTTATGGCATGCCGCAAGTGCTCAATTACGACGGTTCCAGAGACAGGCGATTTGATTTGTTTCAACAGCCTATTTTTGGACCCTCGCAGGTGCTAACGCAAGGTCGTTCCCAATATTACAATGGTATCGATGCACATACTGGCCCAGGTAAATCAACTTCCTTTGTACCGTCGTCTTTCATTATTCGGATGATTTTTAGGTGTTTATCAATTGATGACTATGCCAGGCATGGGAAGACCCACAACTCAGTATTCCGGCATGTCGAATGATCTGAGTCGACGACTGGACGAGCACTGTCGTGGCGGACGAGACAATCTTGCCTTACCAATGCATCAGGCTGCTATCCGAGGCATGGATGTACGAGCTCGCTTCGCTCCAGCTGATGGTGCTCTGGAAGCGAGAGCACAAGAGCTGCTTCTGCTGGGTCAACGAGAATATTCCTGGAATTCCAGAAATAACGGTGGCTTTAATCCTCACTGGTACAGATAAAATGGTGACAATGAGATTTTTGCCATATATGTCATTATTCATTAACATTTCTCGAAAGAGATTAATTCCTTTTAAACAATCCAACATGAGCCTCTCGAGGGTGTGGGTGTAGATGTGGATGTAATTAATTAAAAAATACACCCATGTATACCCTCAACCATACTCACACACCCAATCACTAAACTTTCTTTTTTCTATATTTTTTCACTTTAAACTTCAATAAATACTCTTTTTCTATTTATTGTATTTTGGTTTTTATAATTTCATTTCCATCGTAAAATTTCCATCTAAACAATTTTTGAAAAGTATTTCATAAAGATACTTCGAGTTTTCTTAAAGCTTTTCGGCAAGAACAAAAAAAATAGTAGATTTCTGATATTCTGATTAATAACAATGAAGAGGAGCATATATTTCTGATTTGCTAATTATTTTTGAAATTATAAGATCTGATATAATACGTGACGATACTCATCTTAGCTAAAATTTGTAGAAATTTTCAAAATTTTGGCGAATACTGATTTAAAATTATTTTGACGCAGCAGATTTAAAAATTTGTACTAATTTTACATCTGTTACTCAGGGTGTGGGTGTGGGTAGGTTGCTGGCTGTGTTGTGGGTTGGTGTGGGTGTGAGTGTGGGTGGGTGGGTATGGGTGTGGTTGAGGTATAGATTTTACTGTAAATGAAAAACAGCTACTCACACCCATACCGACGCCGAAGCAACTGTCTAAATGTAACGTATGATGTTTTAAATCTTATCTTCTATAAACTGCCCTTCAAAATAGTTTTTCCCAGTAATATATTAACATTTTTTAACAGAAGAGTATTCAGTTCGCTTTTGCAATACAACTTAGTTCTTCGCACGAAACAAAAGCATCGATTTTGACTTAAATTTATTAATGGGTTCGCGTGGATGCAAGATAAGAACGGTACACAATAATGAAGATATGAAGAAAAAATTAAATTAAATGTTTGTGAATGTTATTACACCCTTTAGATAGTTGATTATGCGTGCTTGTATCCCAGATGAATGTATACTGATTTGCCAAGCTTCCCTAGGTCTGGCTTCATTTGTGCGACGTATTTCTGGACGTATTTCTGAAACCTTGTTGAGAAGATCTCTAGGATTCGCGCATTGTGGACCCTCAAATCCGTCATAACTACCAATTATCCGATTATTTCTGATTCCAGCGCGACATTTCTTAACGAAGTGTTCCCATTCAGTTAGATTATTTAAATCGTTTCTTCGCGATCGATAATCAAGCTGATGGATATTCCATTCATTATAAATGTCTTTTGGTACTTGAAAAATAAGTATTGCAGCTTGACCATTGCAGGTTGGTGCAAAACGGGACATACACCAATCTTTAGCATCTCTGAAATGTGTATTAAGATAAAATTCTGGCCTAAGATCTAAATTTATACGTGTACTTGTAGCATCAATACCGTTGCGAACAATAGAAGCTGCATGGTGCGCTGCGGTTGCATGAAATAACAGTTTGGTGTTAGTAAAGAATTCTATCATCCCAGCTTCTTTCAGACCGATCTATATATTATTTGTATAAAAATTTTTAATTTGAATTGTCTCAAACTGTATAGATAAAAGATCTTTTGCCACTTTAATATCCAATGGTTGTATTTGATTTAACGGTCCACTCGTTATTGGTGGTTTAAGTGGTATTTCGAATATGACGGAAAACTGATGTAGACAGTATTGAAGAGCACAAAAGAATGCATCTTGTTGATTATCATTGGTAAGTTTCGCAGCTTGTGCACACATGAATGTGACACAGCTTGAATTTAAACCCAATGTCCTTAATTGTGCTTCAAAAGCTTCTTTGTTATAGTAAGGATCACTGTTCATTCGATATTCTAAATAAGCGGGGATCAGATCAGGTGTGGAGCCAGCATCATTGCCCTCTGCACCTAACCATTGCAAAAATTCTTCAGCAACAAGACCAACTTGCGTCAGTTTTGCAGCATCACGATACGAGTATAATTTTTGATATAGGTCATCATAAGATACTATTGAAGTCGTTTCGTATATTTATAATAATAACGAATACTCAAACTTTAAAGCCTGTTGATTCAACATACTGTTATCGACGACGTTTTGACCTGTTGAGGCTCTAAAATAATACAAGTACGATAGAAGACATCTTTTTGCAATATTTTCATTTCAAGAATTATGTCCTGTCAAGTCGCTTCTTGTAGACTCATAATCAGATCGGCATTCGAGCGGAGTTTTATTAACCATAAAAGTGAGAGTTTCACGAGGTAGCTCAAATAGATATAGTGAGCTTGACCCATAGTTTTATTTCATCCCTAAGACCATCTTGAGGGTGTGGGTGTGGGTGTGCGTGAAGATGATAGAGAAGACGAGACCCACCCACAAATAAGAAATTGTGAACGAACTACTATTTTCTTTAAATTTTCTCTCCATGTGATGAGTTGAATAGAGAATTTAATTTATTATTTAATAAAAAAAGATATTTGCGTGTAGATTTGAAGAGATCGTTTTTTTTCGTTGAGATTTAATTAGTTGTCATGTAAAATAATATTCTCACATTTAATATTATTTATTCTAAAGATTCACTATTTTTGTCATTATTGGAAATTTGAATAATTCTTTTTGGAATTACAATAATGTCACAGATTTGAGTTTAAAACTAAATTTCGATGTGATCAATATTTATTGTTTTGTAGATTTTCTATTTTTTCAGTTTGAATATAAATTCTCTAGAATAATTCAATTTTTTCAAGTGACATGTCTAGTTCTGTTGAGAAATTCAATTTTTGATAGGAAAATTTTGAAATTCTTCTGCCAGTTTGATTGAAAAATAGTTTTTCGTTGAGAATATGATCATATATTCAATTTAAATTAGTAATTAAAGAGATGTGTTGATCGTTCAAATGAGAATATCGATTTTCATTCAAATGCCGATTTTACAAAAGAAACTTATTGAAAAATAAAAACTATTTATTATAAAATTAAATTGAGATAGAAGATCATAAATCATTTCAAAATAAAAAAAATGTTTTTACCTATTGTGAAGAAAATGATGGGATTAACTGATATTTTTATTATGATAGAGGGTAGAATCTATTTGAGATCTACATCGAGTTTTAAAAATTGATCACTGCCGCCGTGACTCAATGATAAATGGAAAAAAGAAATTATTAAGATACTTTTATAAAAATGTTACGAATATGATGATCTGTGACTATTTAAGATCATGAATAGTTGTTAACAATTAATAAAATTTGTTGAATCTCATAGTTTTGTGTTCATAAACATTTAATTTCTCTTTACATTTATGAATTTTTGTCTTATCCTTAAAAAATAAATCTATCGTTGTCGTATTTTGATGAGCGTTTTTGAAATATTTCAATAAATTCGTTGTCGATATGAAGAGTTTGTTGTAGAAAATGTTTTAAAATTGAGACGATAAGAATTATTCACATTTCTATTTTCTTCTATTCATGAAATTTTGTCTCAATGATTTTGTTTTTATTTATGCTTTTAATTAATATGATAAGAGTAATAAATATTTCAAATTCTTATTTAATATACGAGATATCCATTTTTTTGTATAAAAATCATTTTTATCATCAAAATGAATGTAAATGACACGTAATAAAATTTCCGATACTATCAAAGGACGTATCTTGCAACTTTTACAGCAGGCACAAAAGCAAAATTAATTATATCAAACCAGAATAATGAATGGCGAGTAGTCCTGATGCTGCTCCGATGGAGTATCCAATATGCGGATATATGAAACAACGACTAATCGAAATAGAATCAAAATCTCTCGACGAATTGAAAAAAAAACTTTTAATTGAATGGAAAAAGATGGAATCAAATTTTATTAACAAAGTATTAGCTTCATGGTCGAAAAGACTTTTAAAGATATATAATACTCGAGGTTGTCATATCGAACATCGTTTGTAATTGTACTTTGTTTTTATATATATTCATGGTGAAATATAAAAAAATTTGATGTAAACAAAAGTGCAAAAGTATTTTTTTGTACTTGTTAGAGATCAAATGATTTTTCTATATAAAGCTAGAGAAAATAGAATGCAAATAGTATGGATCGATAGAGTAAGTGATGCTCTATCTTACGATACTAGAATAAGAAACTTTCATTGTTCCGCTGAAATACAGCAAATCATGAAAAGCTATTAAAGTTAATGAGATCAACCTGTATATCAATTCTCGGATTATTTGTATTATTATTTCACACTTATTTTTTTTCAAGTTACTTCTTGTACATTTGACATTAAAGAATAATCCGGATGACTGATGATTCATATGAGAAAAGGATTTGAGTAGTGCATAATGACATTTCATTCAAGAACACTTCATAGATTCGTTCGAGAAAAAAGTTCAATCTGTGCAAATAAATATTTAAATTATAGATCTTCAATGTATTGTATCGCTGCTAAAGTGATAGATTTAGATAAAATCCTTGTGTTTTAGTTGTATATATCTTGATAATAATGATTTAATTGATATTTATGAGATATCTTCATTGAATGAGTTGTTACCCTCGAAACATAATAAACATCGGCTTATTCAGTCTATTATTATCTATATTATATTTTTTTCTTTCATTAAAAATTCATTTCTTTATATATTTACAATAGTGTGTCTTTTTTGCCATAAGTTCTAAATATGATAATGAGTTTTTTCATCTTCTATGATTTAGTGTTTTTATAATATCCGGTAGAAAAAAAAATTAATTTAGAAGATCAGAAAGATAGATAATAAAATGTTGTAAAGAATGTTATTTGCGAACATTTTTATTAATGTGATATTTTATGTTGATCTGCATTCGAACTCTAATTGCATTTTCTCTCACTCTTTAATTCAATATTTTTCTTTTACTTTTAAGTGAATATCAAGTACAAACAATAGTTGCAATGGTACTCTCTGCTATAATTCGCTCATGGCTTCTGCTAGTCCCACTCATCCCATCTATTATAGTTGCAATCTTCAATCTCTATCATCTTTTCAGTAATCGAACACTTCGAATAGCTCTCAACAATCATGTCATTATTCTGCTTTTATGTTGTGGTCTTATCTCAAGTGTTACAGATGTTATATGGACTGCCTATTTTTTGTACACTGGCATTGCTCTATCATCTACACCTGCATTTTGTCAAGGTTGGTTATTTATTAGTGACTCTGGATTGGCAATAAATTTTATTTTGATGGCATGGGCATCAATCGAGCGACATATTCTTATATTTTACTCTAATTGGTTTGCAACAGTAAGAAAGCGCTTTTTTTTTCATTATTTTCCTATGATTATATGTATTATTTGGCCTCTGATATTTTATTGTGTCACAATACTCATTCTACCATGTAGTTATCCATTCCAATACGATAAGAAACAATGTGGTCGTTACTCCTGTATTCTTTTGATTAGTTGGATTGGACTGTTGGATAGTATTTTCCACTATATACTGCCGACATTTATTGTGATTATATTTAGTGTGGCTCTTCTTGTGCGTGTAATTTATCATAGATATCACGTGCATCAAAGAGTTGAATGGAGAAACTATAAGAAAATGGCAGTTCAACTACTACCAATATCGGCACTCTATTTGTGTATATCATTTCCAACAATGATTATATATGCTGGATATGCAGCTGGTCTACCACGAACAGTCGCACTTGATTATTTTCTAGATAGTTTGTTTTTTTGTTACTGGATTATATT